TGCGTACGCAAGTTTCTGGGCTCAAATTGTGCGTACGCAAGTTTTATAAATCCGACCCCTGATGTGGCGGCAGAGGCTGTTTCAAGACTATAATGATCTAACAGAAGATTTCTATACTCCCCTGCAAGCAGGGGCCTGGCAGGAGTCATGTGTCGGGTGTGTGGGGTGCGGGGTGGGGTGGTGTGCTCCGTGATGAGGAAACTCAGCTTGGAGACACATCCCAGAGGTGTTTCTGGTCCCAAAAGGTGTTTCTGATCACCACCTGTCGTTTTGCTCAGCATGGCTGCCTAAAAATGCAACAGGATTTCTCAATGAATGAGTCAAAGCAAGGCTTTGGGCATGTTTTTTATGAGAGTATAACATTATAACATGATATAAAACTCAAAAAAGCTGATTTTACATGATATTGCCCCTTTAAAGTGCCCATCCGTGTACATGTGAAAATAAGGTTAAACCACACTCTTTATAGAGATAAAAAGACCCAGGCAAATTCATAGTCACTTATTGCTGACTATGTAAAATTTTGAAGATAGTAGTATAGAAAATAATAAAAAGGTGTAGGTGCTGTGGTTGAAGATATAGGAAACATATCTTTCTTTATGAAATATTTGTATGTATGGGAAATAGGTGTGCATGAGTATGTGTGCTTGTGTGGAAATAATTTTGTATTAGCCGAGGAAAAACAATAGAAGAGGAAAGTGATGTGATAATAAACAAAAAAAGAAAAAAGGAGAAAAAGAAACCCCCCCCCCCCCCCCGCCACAAAAAGTGCCATAACACCGTGCTCCACCAGCTGTGTACCCACCAACCGAGTTGTGCTTAACACTTAATTTTAATTGGTAAATAAGAAAAATGTCACTAACCATGCTGATGTTCTTAATAAAGCCATGGAGTTATGTCTGGGTCTCTAAACAGCTGACCGTTAATATAAAGCTTATCTACAGCTATTATAGTCATTCTGCCTTCAGCAATGTTTTGTTTTTCCTGATTGGRAACAGAATGCTTCTTCTATCCAGGATTTGTTTTGGAAATTGATCGTTTAAGCTGGAGTTTGTTCCACGCAGCTCCCTACCTCGACTTTTAACGTTCTTTCTGTTTATAATGCTGAAATTTAGCTATAATTGGCCGCAGAAGTTTACTGTTAGGCTTCTTACCTCCCAGTCGATGTAYCCRGTCAAACATRATCTTGTTCACCRTTTTGGCTGGAAGGAGCAGCTGATTTTGAATGAAGYTGCGGACCGAGGCCTCCAGGTCCTCCTCTGCTTGCTCCGGGATTCCCAAGAAGTCGAGCTTGTCCCGCATGCTCCGGGCCTGCRTGTCCAGGATGGATTCCTTTTTTTTTTGCTCTCCTGATAGCTGTGTCATCCCCTCRGTGAGTTCTTTGACCGTTTCCCTCAGCTGGTTGTTTTCTTTCGCAAGCAAAGTTACCTGTTGTTGGCTAAACTTTAAAGACTCCCTCAGATACTGGAATTCCCACCTCTACAAGGGTAAGTCAGCCATCCAAGCCAGTTAGCTTCTTCTCKGTAGACTCCAGGATTTCTGTGAAGSTTGTTTTGTCKGAGATGTTGTCGAAGTATTGTCAGAGCTCTCCAAATGGTTAAGTTTYGCTAGCGGGTTGTTRGCCGTTGAGCTAGCTGCRGGTGTTGGCTTTCRTTTGCCCATAACGATTCTTTAAAWTCACTCGTCAACAAAAAACTCCAGACTTTCCAAGGATTCCTCATCCAGTTTGTTTGTTAGAATGGAAAGGTTAATAATATTTAGGATGATTTAATTTTATGTTTGGATTCAAATTATTGTGAGGTTTTACCTGGGCAAATTATGGTTACCTGTATTCCACCATTACTTATGCACAAGTTAATGCGAGATCTCAGCAGCAGCTCATCCCGTCTCCCATCTCATCCCGTCTAATGCTGTGTCTCTTGCCATGTGGCTGTACACCCCTCATAAAAATGAAGGTGGGATACAATGTTTGAAATAAAATACTGTGCACAACCTAGAATACACTAGGCCATGCTAATCAAAAGTGAATGACTAAAATGCTGCTGCTTGGCTTGTATTGTAGCAAATAGAATTCAGTGAGATTGCAATGAATATTTGCCTATTTTCCAACAATCCAGCTCAATGAATGATCTTATTGGAGAAAGAGAGGTTTGTTCTGACCAAGATTAATGGAAAATACACCACCATCTTAAAAAAAGGTTGCAATTCATAATACAGGCTGATACGTACCAATACCTACTCAGTACCAGATAAGTTTGGCTCAAGATCTGTAAAACCAACTGAGCTWTGGCTAGAAACATACCAGAGAATTGGCACAGATCGATAATCAGGGAACACAACACAAGTAGGAGACAGTAGGGTGAGTTGTGCCCCTTTTTRCTTAAAGTGATTTTMAAGCAAGGCCATAACTGTAATGCTTCCAATTAAAAAATTTACATATATTTAAGATGTGTTGCATCCCTGGGAACAATCAAAAATACCACTATCCAAGAGAAAGTTGTTTCATGGCACAAATCACCCCTCCCTCGCATAAACCACTGTAAGCTACCGTGGGAAACATTTTTAGCTTCGGAAAAGAAGTCCAGTTCCTTGTGTTTTTAAAGGGGACATATGCAAAATCCACTTTTTTAGCCATTACATGCATTTTGTTGTGTACTTGGAGTCTCTAGGAGTGCAGATAATTTTAATTTAGTCTCTCCCAGTGCTGAAAAGATATACAGTATTTATATTCTRTTTGGGTAATATTTTTTGACCCATTTAGTTTTGTGAACTATTTCATAAAATTGTTTGTGACAGAACTACCAAATAAGGTCTGGACTTACCAACAACAGTTTTGTTGTCTTCATTCTCCTCTTGCTCTGGCTCAGACTCTGACTCCAAGGTCTGGCTGGATAAGTCTTCCCTTGTTGACATCTTTTAATTCATTTATATATAAAATGATTCTGCGCCACTAGATAGACATTACCCCCCCAATCAAACTAGATTGAATTGGTCTGGAAGCTGGAGTTGGGACAGGGTGTGAAGTGTATGGATTTAAATGAATAGAGTAGAAACCAGCTGCTTTGAGACATAGAGTATGTCGGAATGGTGGTGAAAGAGGGGGCTGGTAGAGTTACAATAAGAAGGTATTCAGACCAAAGTATTGCATTTCCACTATAGAYCCTAACTGAATGGTTTAAATATGAAAAAGAAGGATTTAAAGGCATGGTATGTCTCCTTAAATTTATTGTTTGGATTATCTAATGAAGCTAATGATGCTTACAAAATWGTTTTTAGACTGTGGATCAGTTTGTAGAGGCTGTATTTTTGCACACACAACAGCTAGCATTACCTGAACATACCACATATCAAAACCTTTATTACCTCCGATATATATTATATGTTACCTCAAAATTACCCTGTAATTACCCTGTATTCCCCATATGTTGCAGTGAATATAATTGTAGACATTAAGATATGGCTTGAAGTCATTTTTTTAAATAAGGAAATGTCTCCTCAAAAAAATAAACCACTTTGTTTTTACTTAAGCAAGCTGAGCACAGAACAGCTGAAAATGACATACAAGGTTTACTGACTTTTCCAGAGAGAAACTGGTGTAATAAATGTTACATCATAACAAGTTTCATTCTTGTGAATCTGCAAACTCTCCAGAGAACTGCCTTGGATTAACCTTGTGACCTTGTTTTTGCTGGAACACAGGAATATTTTGACCTGCATTAAACTATGGAGAAAACAAAGAAAGTGCTAAATAAAAAATACAACAACATAAAACCATTTTATTGACTGGAGTCTAAAGTAAACTATTGAAAAACCTTTCAAATCATAAAAATGAAACAAGTTATATCAGTTAAAGAGAATTTGTATAATTGTAGATTTTGCAGAACAATTACATAGTGCAAGTACTGGTGAGCACTGTGGGAGGTGACTCAAATTTTTCACAACACTAAATCAAAACAAGCAGAAAAATGTGACTGGCATTTACTGTACATATAAAAGCTACATTACCACATACTCTGGAGATTGTGTCTGTTGTTTCGTCTTGGTAGAAATATAAAAAGCGATACAACCTTTGCTTTGAAACCAAACACAGAAATTAAATGTGCTTCTTATCGTAACATTGACTTTCCATATAAGGCATGAGTCTGTTTTGTTATAAACACTTTTTTTGGTCTTTTCACTCAGTTATCCAGAAAGCAATGTGCACTAGTCCACAATCTGGGGTTAGATGGAGCGTTATTTACAGCGCTACGTCCGCCGACCTTTGTCCTCTTCTTAAACAGGTTTTTTGTACCACTTTTAGATAGAAAATAAARGAAGTCAACATTTGTTAACATTTTACCACTTAGCCAATAGGTTTTCTTTTGACATAAACATGCCACCATCAATAGAACATGACAGGCTTTCCCTTCCAATTATGACAACAGATACAGGTTTTCAAATGCCAAATAAAATGGAAGATGTGGATTAAAAAGAAATACCCAGACTTTACCAAGGTTCAGAATGATCAAATGTTAAACTCTTGARTGTAACAGAACCCCTCTCCCACACATGTATTATTATCATTTGGTTACCCCAACCAAATATTTCTGTATCCAAAGAAAATAGTTAGAAAAGAGAAAATCCTTTGACTAATGTTAGAATATCACTCAAAAGTGCCTCCTCACAGATCAAAATCTCCTTTATCATTTGCAAGACACCAGACACCAGTTTGTTTAACCAGAAACACTTGTCAGAGTAAGATAATTTTTTTTAACTTTTGTCTTTCACAAAGTTTGCCAAAAGCATGGCAATGAGATCAAAAGGATGTCTCCCAACAGGGACAGCGCATCTTCTAAAAAGGATACAAGTATCACCTGAAAACCTGTCAGAAATGCCAAAAAAGAAAGGCCTACTTAGCTAGCCTTTAGAGTCACTGGTTTGTTAATTCAAATGGTTCAAGAGACCTTTTCAGCAGTATTGTCCCTGAAGTAACAACTTCTATGTGTGTGCAGTACAACTCCAGAACATGGCCAGCGTGCTAAGCTAGCTAGCTGCACAGCTGGGCCAGGTCAGGTTCAGGAAAAGCATTAGGAAGCTTGGAGTTGAAGATCTGTAAAGAGTCCTTGATCCGCGCCACCTCTCCGGCAGACAGCTTGAGGCGGTGGCGCAGCAGACAAGTGAACAGGTCAAGTGGCTGTGGTGCCGGTGGAGATAGCCGGTTAATCCGGTCTCTCATCTCCAGCAACATCAGAAAGGCAGCATCTTGTGTACCCTGTGTGTAGGGGTAGTCCAGCTGTAGAATCAGATCTTTGATGCCTTCAGGGTCAAAGTGCATGCTGTATCCAAAAACTTTAAGTGTGTTTATCTTCATGTAGCCCAGRTTGGAAGTTTGGTCTTCCAGGTCCAGAGGTTCGTAGAAGAGAGTTTCATTCACTGTCGGATCATCTGTGAGTATGCGGCTCCGCAGGTAGATGTGCACTGTTTCAAAGAAAGACTTCCACTTGTTGCCCAGTGACAGCGTCCAGTTGTAACACTGTGCAGTGGCAATGGAGTCCAGTCTAGTTCTCTCCCAGTTAGAGAAGTCAGGCTGATTCACTGGCATGAACCAGCTCTCTGAGTGACTTCCCCCAAAAGGATTAACATAAATCACAGGCACTGGTTCAAGTGTTGAATTCTTCGTCAAGCATATCTGAAAAGAAATACCCATCAGCATGTGAATGAGGTTGGATTTGTTTTTGTTGCTTTTGAGTGTCAATAGCATTCTTTTCCTCCAAGCAGGATTGAACCAACTTCCCAAGCGGACGTCGTTGCTGATGTAGATTGCGTGGACCTCTATTCTGCTGTCGAGTCGCTTGAGCAGGTATTTCACCTTTAGTGGGGAGAAAAACAAACAAAAAAACCCTCTTAAATCACAATCATTACTCAAGGCATACAAACTGTTGCATACTTGTTCAAAACATGCTAGTTCTCTTACGATTTCTGATTAAAGTTCTAGTTTGAAATTTTAGCAATTTAAATACAGTATTAATTTAATTATAATATTTAGTTTAAACAATAGTATATAAAAATCAGTTGACAAAAACTTAGCTTTGTAGCAAGATTCTCAAAAAAATATAATTTTTAGCTAGTGTTTCAGTCGAGACTTGGCTAGAATCAAGTTTTGTTTTTAGTTATTTTTTACAGATTATGTACATTACATGAACTATGTATAGTCCCAAATTGACCTACATTGATATGACTACAATTATTCAGATACTCTCAGCCTTATGTGGTTTTAAAAGCAGTGTAGAATATATGTGAGGAGCTCTGAGAACCTCAGCATCTGGCATGTCCAGGTCAAAGTTCAAATAGTGGTCCAGGGACGGTGCAACGCTTGGGCGACAGGAACCAAGGTGGAGTAAGTTTCCATGGTGGCAGGCTCCACAGCGGGTGGCATTGTCTGTGGCACAAAGGGAGCAGGAGGTGGGAGAGGTGCCTACAACACAGGGGATCACTCCTTGGCAGGCGGGCTGGTCCACAGGGCAGCTACAGCTTTTCACCTCCTCCGAGAATGAGCCCAGAACTCCGTGCTCGTTGCAGTAGAGCAGAGACTGAGCTGTGTCCATCCAGAAGCCAACTGGCCTGTAGATAAGGAAGTGAACACATTGTTGACTAGGAAGTGATAGAACAGTTCAAAAGCCCAACACTATAGTAGTGTCACCATGAAAGTATTCATACATATTCACAAATGCAACCAGGAAATGTTTATTATCACATATATATTTTCAAACTTTACCTAAATGAAATACTAAAACCACAAACCCATTTTTTTACCACTTACGTAGAATGAAGGGTCATCGAAAAGAACTAGAATTCCAAACACCCAATAACCATGGAAACAATCCAACAAATGTTTTGAAAGAAGCATCCTAATTAAACCCTTGTTCAATGACATATCTTTTCGAGAGCCTTGGGGTTTGGTTTGTGGAAAAGCAAATCTTCCACCAAAAAGCAATTTATAGGAGAGCATCAAAGTGAGACATGTTTTCAAACTGCAAGGACTTTCTAGGCCTCCTTGACTAAACATAACGACCAAACGCTCACTTGGTTCATTCTTTTAAGCACGTGGCACCAACAGCTTTTTAGTGTTCAAGTTTTGGTATAGAGGATTTGTTAATTGAACAACTTAAATAAATAAATACAATTATTCTTTGGAAATATGCATAGCACCCTCCATATTGCCACCATACCAAACTTTTAAACAAAGATCTGTTAGATCTTGGAGTAAATGCTGGKGATGAATTAAAGCTACTACCATACCAAATGTTAACTGGTCTCTTTAACAGTCTCTAAAACAAAACATTTCTTTTTTATTCCTCCACAATTCTTTATATTTTATTTTTTTATTATTAGTAGTCATATCATTGCTAGTTCGTGCTAATTTTGGTTTTTGTGCACAGTCTATAGTTTGTAAAGTAACTAGCATGTGAACCTCTGTATGGATGCTGTTGTGACACCTGAATTTCCCCTCAGCAGGACAATAAAGGCTATTTCTATTCTTCTATTCTATTCTAGTTATCTGTAAAATCTACAAAGTTTTAACCATTTTTGTGTTTCCTATGTCTCAGTTGTAGTGGCCATCTTGAATCAGATTGACTCTAAAAGTTAATAAGAGAGTTTAATAAATATCAATGCCATCCAAGGTTCAATTAACTATTTTGTTAGAAAGCACACAAATAGACCCTCTAAAACAGACGCAAAGGATCTTTGAAACTTGAGCGTGGCTGTGGCTCACCTTTCTCGGGGCAGACTGATGCGGGGCTGTTTGGGACAGCGTTTGCTCAGGGTGAACAATTTCCTGACAATCTTCTGGGCTTTTCCTAACACCAGTGCAGTGCTGGACTCCAGCTGGGTGTAGCGCTTTTGGAGGGACAGATCGGCAGACCAGAACTTGGCGATAGTGGTCACATTCAGAAACCGGTCAGTGGGCAAACGCTTCAGGAAGGCCTTAAATTCATCTGCAGAAATATCAACAGAGGCAGGATGGTCGGGGAGTGAGAGAAAAGAGATGGATTACAATCAAATTAGATGATCTCACAAAATTTAAATCTACTTTTTAAAGTACTCATCAGTAGGGATGGGCAAAAACAACCCATATCCTGATAGACATGCGATCATTATCAATAGAAAATACATACAATAGAATGTTGATCACTTCACTGAACTCTGWTCTGGAACCGCACAGCATTCTGGGGGATGTAGGCAGATSAAAGCCTTTAGCCACCCAATCTCTCACGGTACAGCTAAGCAAGACTGCTGGCATCAACTAACTCACTCACTATTTGGTCAATACCACCTGGAAAAAACTGCAAGCTTCAATCCTTCACTGTTAAGTTGATATCAAAGATGAATGATGTATCAAAAGACATGTTTCTGAAGACTTGTAATGTGCAAATTTGACATTTGTAATTGGGTGTGTCCCGACACCAGTTTTTCTCAAAATACGTATGAGTACATGCCAATACCGAGTACTTACTGTGTTAGAACCTAAACATTACACAATGACTTAAAAAAACTTTTTTTCATTCATAACAAGTTGGCTCTCATCAAATGCAACATTTTAAAATAAATGAAAAATGACAAATACAATTTTCTTTCTGCTTGTTTAATTATAAAATGGAACTGACAAACCTTTCACATAAAATGTAAACTGTAGCATTTAATGGAGTACCAATAACAGTATCTCAGTATCAATATTGGATCCTGGTATTGGGCATTCTGTACGAGTGTGAGTACTTGTATCTGGACACCCCTATTTGTAATAGTTTAAAAAAGGACAGGATGTCACCACACCACATTGCCAAAGTCATCACCCTACTCTACTACGTGTCTGCTAATCTGAATAAATAATTMTATAGAGTCAGATTAGTGTTTTAGATGACCTTCACAACACCTGTGGRACACATTGGAGGCAACGAGGTTCAGCCTTTTGCCAAAGGAGACTTTGATGTGACTGAATACTGGTGGAATCAAACCTACAAGTCTTGTTAGAGGACATCTGTTGAAACCACTGATTCACTGCTGTTCACTGGCTGCTTTTTTCATAGAGAAATTGAATAATTAACTGTTAAAAAATGCAGTCTTYTATGTAATGTGTGTCAAGAATCTACTACAATTGGAGAAAAAATAATCTTTGCACTAGTGGATTCAACAAGAGTGTAACACATGCTGAAATGAAATAGTTTGTGTCCTGTGGTGAATTGTAACAACATTTCGGTCTTCAAACGTTTTAAGTTTCATTATGGAGCATTGTGTAAATTAACATGCCAGTTATGAAATGTTTAACATTCTTCATTTTTTTTCTTCAAATGCCAGCTAAGTGAGACCTTCCAGGATAGTACTGGGACTATTGAAGAATCATAATGCTGTTTTTGGTAGGAAGTCCGCAAAGAAATCCACAGCCAAGTCAACCTGCGTTGAGCTCAACTGACAAGACTCAAGCCTATTACAGAGCTCAGTGATCCCAGATGACACAACGGTCAGGTTCTTTCCATCCCTTTTTTTTGTGCACGTCCGCCTCTTCCCCTCACTGTGATTGTTCTCTTCTGGACAAGCAAGATGAGGTTGYCTCTTTCTGTCTCAAGTTGTCTGTCTCAGCTTGCTCCGTTTTGTGTGTTTTTGCGTCCCGTCTACTTCCTGATATCTTTCTCAAACTTGTTTCTGTGGCTAAAAGAAAATCTTTAACTTCACAAACTTTACTTTTACCTCATTAGGTCATTGCTTTTCGTGCAATATCACTGCAATTCATTTCAACCTTTGCAATTTCTAGTATTTTTTGAGGTAACAAAGAGCACAAGCACAAAGTTCAACATAAAGCTAGTATTTTAAAGGACATTTGTCTCCATAACCATAGACAGTGGGGTGCGAAAGTTTAGGCAGCTATGTTAATTTTCCTGATTTACCTTTATAAATCATTGATTGTTTGGATAAAAAAAATCAGTTAAGTATATCATACAGGGGAAAAACACAGTGATATTTGAGAAGTGWAATGAAGTTTATGTGATTTACAGAAAGTGTGCAATAACTGGTTAAACAAAATTTGGCAGGTGCATAAATGAGCACTGTTGTCATTTTATTAATTTCAAAACCTTTAGAACTAATTACTGGAACTCAAATTTGGTTTGGTAAGTTTAGTGACCCTTGACCTCCATACACAGATGACTCCAATTATGAGAAAGGGTATTTAATGGGGGCAAATGTAAGTTGTTCTCCTTCTTGCATCTTCTCTGAAGAGTGGCAGCATGGGAGTCTTAAAACAACTTTCAAATGAGCTGAAAACAGATTGTTCACCGTCATGGTTTAGGGGAAGGATACAGAAAGCTATCGCAGAGATTTCAGCTTTCAGTCTCCACTTTTGAGAAACTGTGAGAAAATGGARGRCCACGGGCACAATTCAAGTGTAGGCTCCAAGTGACAAAGAAAAATCTCCAATAAACARAAGTGAAGGATGTTGAGAACAGTCAGAGTCAACCCACAGACCAGCACCAAAGACCTACAACATCATMTTGCTGCTGATGGAGTCACTGTGCATCGTTCAACTATTCAGCACACTTTACACAAGGAGATGCTGTATGKGAGAGTGATGCAGAGGAAGCCTTTTCTCCGCCTACATCACAAATAGAGCTGCTTGAGGTATGCTAAAGCACATTTTGCAGAACAAGGGCCGTTATGCATGGAGGAAAAAGAACACAGCACTCCAAGAAAAACACCTGCTACCTACAGTAAAATGTGGTGGTGGTTCCATCATGCTGTGKGGCTGTGTGGCCAGTACAGGGACTAGAAATCTTGTTAAAGTTGAGGGGTGCATGGATTCCAATCAATATCAGCAGATTCTGGAGATCAATGTTCAGGAATCAGTGACAAAGCTGAAGCTGCTGAAGCCAGGCTGGATCTTCCAACAAGACAACCACCCTAAACACTGCTYAAAATCTACKAAGRCMTTCATGCAGAGGAACAAGTACAACGTTCTGGAAWGGCCATCTCAGTCCSCAGAYATGAATATTATTGAAAATCTGTGGTRTCACTTAAAGAGAGCTGTCCATGCTTGGAAACCATCAAACCTGAATGAACTAGAGATATTTTGCAAAGAAAAATGGTCTAAAATACCTTTAACCACAATCCAGACTCTCATTAGAGGCTGTAGAAAGCGTTTAGAGACTGTTATTTCTGTGAAAGGAAAATCTACTAAATAATGCGTTGTTTTTTTTTTTTTTTGCTGCCCAAATTTATGCACCTGCCTAATTTTGTTTAACCAATTACTTCACACTTTCTGTAAATCAAATAAACTTCATTTAACATCTCAAATATAATTGTGTTTGTCCCCTTTATAATATATTTTACTGATTTTTTTATCTTAACAATCAATGATTTATAAAAGGTAAATCAGGAAAATTTAAAAGGCTGCCCAAACTTTTGCACCCCACTGTAGAAGGTATAAGACCTAATGGAACATCAATGGATAATGATAAATGACCTGAGCTTATATAGTGCTTTATCAAGTCTAAGGACTCAAAAGCACTTACYGATACTGTCATTTACACATTAATTCACACACTATTGGTGATAAGCTACTGTAAATTGTAGCAACCAGAGAAGGCTGCCATGCACCAGAGCCACCTGATCACCACCAACAGGCAAGGTGGGTGAAGTGTCTTACCCAAGTACACAACAACYGAGACAAAGCAGGCAATCAAACCAGCAACCCACCAGTTAGAGGACAACTYCCCTACCTCCTGTTGCCACAGTTACTCCAGACAATGTTATAAAATTGAAAAACATCTACATTTGACTAACACACATATTCCCATTCATAAAAGGCATATTGTACACTGGAGTAGWTTGCTATGCGCCTTGTGTTCATGCAGAATTAGTCAGTTTTTGATTGCCATGACCATCCACTTGGTATTCCAGTTTAATGTTGTTGGCAATAGTAGTAGCACAGGGTTACTGTAAACAGACTTCGACATACAGATTTTCTTTTAAAAAATTTCTGGTTTTTAATGTCTTGGTCATCTATATGCTCTTTTGTCATGGTTTTGGATCATATTGTTCTTGGCATGCTTCATTACATAAAAACTGTAGCATACTTATCAATATTCACTCGTTATTCTTCCATCTGGGTGACAAATTTCCCTTTGCATCTTCTAGCTTTGGGAAAAAACATATAAAACAGATAAATGAGCTATGTGAATCACCATCCATCCATCCATCCATCCATCCATCCATCCATCCATCCATCCATCCATCCATCCATCCATCCATCGCAGATGGGTCATTAGGGCATCAGCATGAGCAGGGAGGCCCAATTAGAGTTTTTCTTTTTTTTAATCAATAGTAAAGCCCTGCTTCTTTATGGAGGGCCAGTACGTAAAACTTCTTTTTTTAATCATACTTTGTGAATACTGTWATGGATCTARATTTAACTAATAGAGTGGAGTGTGATGGAGTTTAATTATGTTTTTTTTACATGTCTATGGTTCATACATYAAAACATACTTCTTTTCTTCTTCTTACCCAGTGTATTTCCCACTGATACTGGAGAGTTTAATGTCAAATTTGTCCAGAGCGCAGTGTGCACTTCTATGCTTCTATAAACTTCCATTGTATGTACGCTGAGGTGAACTCTTTCAAAACTGGAAGTGAAGGGTCTTTTTAATGTGCCATAGCTCTCACATGAAACACTGTAAACACAAAAATACTGTTATTTCTTGTTTGAGTTTAATTTTTGTTTTGTGTTTATGTGTGCTTCTATTGTTGAGTGATAAAAGGCAGAGAAAGACACATGCGTGTGGTTACCATGATGTACGTTGAAATTTTCTCCAAAAATCTTGGAGTTTATTTTTGTTGCATTTCCTCATTCTATTACATGAATTCTTTTCCGTTTCTCCTGCCTTTTAATTCTCATGCACATCAAGTCAGGTAATCGTAACACCACAAAGTTAGTTTATCACACCTACCC